AGTGTTTAAACAAGAGGGAAAACAGCAGATCATTAAAGGAGGCCTATTAAGTTAAATAGCTTGAGGGAGAACTATAATGTGTGTAGGAGGAGAAGCAATAACACATTTTCTAGCAGGGTAAAGGAGTTGTGGGGCACTGGCAGGGCTGTGAGGGGAGCCCAGGGCTGGAATAGCAGGGACTGCAGGGCAGGGCTGAGGGGCACTGGCAGGGCTTTCTAAGGAACTCAGGATTGGAATGACAGTAATTTCTGCAGGTCAAGACTCTTTGCTTTGGTAGAGCTGTAGGAGATAGGGGCCAGGACTGGAACAGCAGAGAGTTCCGCAGATGAGGACTGAAGTGATCATTGGAGCAGAGGGGGAGGCACCAGTGGAGCTGAAGGAAGCACTGCATATTAGGCGTGAAGGTGTGTGGAGAAGTTTTAAGGTATTCCATAACCCATGCCAGGGCTGCCAACAGAATTGCCAGGCTCCTGGACAAGATAGGGGAGAGACTCCCAATCCTAGGAAGGAGCATGGCCTCTGGCAGAAAGAGCACAACCCACTTCTCCCCAGCCAGCCCTTCATCACAGTCTGGTCTGTGCCATCTGGGGTTCCACGCTGGCATTTTAAAGGGCCACAAACAGCTACCCTTCACCCCCTCATCATCCCTGGGTGTCCCACGTGGCTGCTGGCCTGGCCAGCGATTAAACTGCCATGATTTAAAGCAGCAGGGAGCTCCCAGTTGCTGCTGTTGCCACAGCAGTGGGGGCACCGGGAACCCTGGGCAATTGCTCCTTTTTTCCCCCCTGTCAGTGGCGCTTGACCCCTCAGCCTCTGTTCTTCCCATCCTGCTCCAGCAGGAATGTGCCAGGTGCAAGGTGCTTTCCATTCTGACCTGTGTTCCTGATAAGAAACAGCTGGCCACAGCCACAAATGTGTAACAATGGGAGGGCCTGGGAGAGGGTCACGGGAGGGGAAACACATCGGAAGTAAAGCAGAAGGTTAACAAATGACCTTCAAGCTGCACCATTCGGGCAGTTTGGGCAAGGAGGCGGGGAGAGAAGTAATTGGGAATGAGTTCAGAGCAGCTTTCCCCCACTGAAGAGATAAGAAACAGCTGGCCACAGCCACAAATGTGTAACAATGGGAGGGCCTGGGAGAGGGTCACGGGAGGGGAAACACATCGGAAGTAAAGCAGAAGGTTAACAAATGACCTTCAAGCTGCACCATTCGGGCAGTTTGGGCAAGGAGGCGGGGAGAGAAGTAATTGGGAATGAGTTCAGAGCAGCTTTCCCCCACTGAAGAGAGTTCTTCGTTCTCTTTGCATCATAGGCACATTTTTCTCATTGACTCCTGGTGCTAGATCAGTTGGAATTAGCAAGTTAAGTGACTGCATCCTCAGTTCTTTTTCTGAAGTGACTGGATGGCACTGGAGCTCCCTTTTGAAATGGCAGGAGAGTAACAGAAGGAGACAGACACAGACAGAGACAGATAGAAAGAAGGACCAAGAGAGAAAAAGGCCAGCAGAAAACCAGTGTTGTGCATGAGAAGGAAAGGCAAACCAGAAAGGAGCAGAAAACAGCAGAGTAAGAAGAGAGAAGGGACTCGCCCTGTCAAAGGAGTTTCTCTGCTCTTCACCTCTGTTTGAGGACTGGCCAAGATGAACTGAAATTAGGAAGGAAGCACTGGCCCTGAGCTACACAAGACAGCAGAATCAGCATTATTTCCTCATGAGGATCTGTAGCCTGTTCATGATCCTCTCTGCTTTGGCAAGTCTCTCTTGGGTGAGTCACACCATATGTTCCTCTGGCAGAGCTTGCCCTCTGCCGGGGCAGTTTATTACATCAAAAGTTCAAGGGGATTTGAGCCAAGTATAAATCTGAAGTAAGAATTTCCCTGGTATTTAAAAGCATTGAGGAAATAAAGGCGGGTCCAAGTGGGGCCGAGGAGAATTCAAACCCATAAAGAGCTAGATAACGGAATGATAGAATATAGAGTAACCAGAATTCCACTCAGGCAGTGTGTTATTCATATCTGTAATGGGCACAGTAAATAATAGAATATTGACGGGTCTGTGTTTTTAAATATACAGGGGAATTAAGATCTGGAGAGAGAACAGTGGGGAAGTTCAATCTATAATGGAGAGAGGGGAAGGTAAAATGTAAAGGACGTGTCTGCATGGAGAAGAAAAGGATTCAGGTTGATGATGGTGTGCATGAGAAGGACAAAAGAAAGTAGGTAATGCGAGTCTATGGGCCAGGGTTTAGGATTGGTATTGGAGTAGATGAGGGAGATGCTGAGCACTGGGCTTTAAGGAGACAGAGTGGGGACAATTCACCCAGATTGCCTTTACTCTCCCTGTAGTTTCCTCAAGTGAGATGCGAGGAGGGCTGTGTGAACCCTCAACAGTGAGTATACACATGAATTCCTTTCAGAAGAGGTTGGGGGTGTGGAGAGGTGACAGACATGGGAGGAATCTCAGCTGATGACCTTGCCTCTGACAAGGGAATTTGCTTTTGTTGAAAAACTTAAAAAACAAGAAATAGTCATGCAGTATCTTAGAAACTAAGAAACTTATTTTACCCCTTATGCCTCGTGAAACGAGGTTTACAGGAGCAGTCGACAAAGGCTTCCCCTGTCGACTGATCCACGTCTCGACCGCTGCACTGTGCCGACAATCAGCTGATCCTGCACAGCGCGGTGGCCATTTTTATTTAAATGAAGCCGGGGATACTTAAATCCCCGCTTCATTGACTATGTCTGGTAGCCTATTTTACATGCCTCTGTCAGCAGAGGCATGTAGTCTAGACGTACCCTAAGATACAACAGGATTTGCTCCAATCCCACAGACAGACACACAGCTACAGGATCTATATAGAGCATTCATAAAACTGAAATACCCACCCAGAGAAGTAAAAAAAAAGATTGACAGAGCCAGACGAGTACCCAGACATCAGCTTCTTCAAGACAGGCCCTACAAAGAAAATAACTAGGGCAGTCAAGCAATTAAAAAATTAATTGCGATTAATCATGCTGTTAAACAATAATAATATTTAAATATTTTTGGATGTTTTCTACATCTTCAGACATATTGATTTCAATTACAACACAGAATACAAAGTGTATAATGCTTTCTTTATATTTATTTTTAATTACAAAACATTTACACTGTAAAAAAAAGTCAGTTCACCTCACTAAAGTATTGTAGTGCAAATTCTAACATGAAAGCTGAACTTACAAATGTAGAATTATGTAAACAAGAATAACTTCACTTAACAATAAAACAATGTAAAACTTTAGACTCCACAAATCCACTCAGTCCTACTTATTTTTCAGCCAATCACTATGACAAACAAGCTTGTGGGAGATTTGTGGGAGATAATGCTGCATGCTTTCTTGTTTACCATGTCACCTGATAGTGAAAAAAGACATTTGCATGGCACTGTTGAAGTCGGCATAGCAAGACATTTACATGTCAGATGCACTAAAGATTCATATGCCCCTTCATGCTTCGACCACCATTCCATGCTTCAACCATCAATGTCCATGCTGATGATGGATTCTGCTTGTTAACGATCCAAAACAGTGCAGATCGAAGCATTGTTTTCATCATCTGAATCAGATGCCACAAGCAGAAGGTTGATTTTTTGGGGGCGGGGCATGGTTCCGTTTCTCTAGTTTCTGCATCAGAGGATTGCTCTTTTAAGACTTCTGACAAAATGTTCCACACCTCATCCCTCTCAGATTTTGGAGGGCACTTCAGATTGTTAAACCTGGGATCTAGTGCTGTAGCTATTTTTAGAAATCTCAGATTGGTGCCTTCTTTGCATTTTGTAAAATCTGTTGTGAAAGTGTTCTTAAATGTAACAACATATGCCAGGTCAACGTCAGAGGCTGCCATAACTTGGAATATATAGCAGAACGTGGGTAAAACCACGGAGCAAGAAACATACAGCCCCTCCCCCCCCGAGGAGTTCAGTCACAAACCTGCAGGGCTCAAGTAAGGTTTCTAGCTTTTGCAGTTTTTCAAACTCTTTATCTGTTGACACTGATAGATGGTGCTTTTGAAGAGCTAATGTGGATGTGATAGCAGCTTTATTGCGAAGCAGGCACTGAATCATAGCCAATGTGGAATTCTAACTGGTTGAAATATCTTGTACCAGAGGTTCTTGTTTCTGTCCAGGGCTTGTAGTATTCCTAGCTCTGTACTGTTAGCTGGACTGTGTTTGAAATGCCCCAGAAGTTTTCTACATTTTGCCAGCATGTTTTCAAAACTACCATCACTGAGTGCTACAGTAATGGATCGCTGCAGACTGTGAGCAAAGCATTTCATGTGTTCAAACGGCAAGCAACTGGCCGCTGCTACCATATTACATGCATTGTTAGTACTAATTGTTGTTACCTTTTCCTGAATATTCCATTCTTTCGCAACATCCATGAAGTGCTCTTCGCATGCTTCTGCATGTCTCTCTTCAATATGAGTTACTGTTACAGCAAACGACTGTAGTGTCCATGCAGCATCAGTCAGGTGTGCCATGACACCAAGACAGCTATGATTGCTCAAGGATGGCCAGTGATCACCAGTCAAAACAACAGTCAGTGCATTTCTCAGAAGCTCCAACTTTGTAGTCTTCTCATTGTCAGATAGGTCATTTATTCGTGATGCAATGGTTCCTCGGGAGGACAAGGTGTATGACTGGTTGGCAGATGCTATTTGAATAATATCTCTTAGCCCTTTGTCATTTACAATGTCAAGTGGTCTGCAGTCCATAGCTATCTACTTTGCAATATCATTGGTTAAGTTGTTGTATTTTGTTTGATCCATGGGCTTGTAGTGATCCTGAAACTGTAATTGTACTCTGTCCTGGCTAGCTGGACTCTTTTGCTGGTGGTGGATTATCTGTAGCACAAGAACCAGAGGCAAAAGCATGCTTAGCACGTAGGTGATACTGCAGACTTGAAGTGCTTCTTGCAGTAGCTATAGATAACAGTCCTTTTAGACAAAGAACCATCTGAAAGTATTTTAAACATAAACTTCCCATTCAAAAGACCTGAACTGTTGTTGCTTTGCTCCATTAATTTTGTCTGATATTTTATCACTATAGATCATGAAAACACAGAACTGTGTCAATGGCTGGAATAATTCAATAAATTCTTCTATATAATCAATATATCTGTGTCCTATTCAAAAGAGTTTTTTAGCTCAGCTCCAGTTGCGGGCAGCACAGGGCCAGAGGAGGGTAGACTCTGCCATGGGCAGTGCAGAGTTGGGGGGCACAGGGCTCAGGTGTGGGGGTCAGCCCCTAGGCTTGAGGGGGTAGATACCACCAAGGGCAGTGCAGAATTTGGGATGGGGGAGGGAGGACTCAGCACCAGAATCAGATGTGGGGAGAGGATCAGTCCCAGGAGGCAAAGAGAGGGTGGCTTGGGTGAGCCCTGCAAGTGGGGAGGAACAGTCTGGGCAAGCCCCCCAGGCTGTTTTATTTTTTTTAAATATAGACACTTGGGAGGGAAGAGGGACAGGTGTCAGGGTCTTTACTTGTTGTTTACCCCTCCACTGGAGCTGGGACCACATCCTCAGGTTTTTTTTCTTTCTGGCTGCTTCATTTTTCCATGAGCCCTCCTGGTGGTGGTTTGCATTACTGCTCCTTACAAGAGTTGGTCTCTGGAGCAACTTATGCTGGTTTCCCACCCTTTGCGAATTTGCGATTAACACGCGTTTATTTTTTTTAAAGCATGAATTCTGCCCTGCATTAATCACAAGCATTAACACACATTAATTGACAGCGCTAAAAAGTAACAGGACACCACTTATCATCACCTACAACCCCCAACTGTCCATTTAGCATGGACACTCTAATTCACAATTTTTCCTCCTTTTTTCCTTCTCTCCCCCCATCCCTGTCCCCTCCCTTTCTCTGCTATTTCTTTGGAACCTGGACCCTTTAATTCCATTCATCTGAAGAAGTGGGTTGTGCCCATAAAAGCTCATGATCCCATTGACGTGTTTTGTTAGTTTCTAAGATACTGCAAGACTATTCCTTGATTTTCAATTATTTTCAATTACAGACTAAGGGTACATCTAGACTGTGTTGCTATTTCAGGATATCAGAAGTATCCCAAAATAGTAATGCTGCATCTTGAATAGCGCTATTCCAGCATCCCTATAATCCTCGTTCCACTAGGGTTAAGGGATTCATCAGAATCGTGACTTATTTTGAAATTTGGTGCTGTGTAGACAGTGCTAAATTTCAAAATAAGCTCTTTTGACTTAGATTCAGAATAAGCTGTGCAATTTGCGTAATGCAAATTGTGTAGCTTATTCCAACAGAAGGGTGCTGTCTAGATGCACCTAAACATGGCTACCTCTCTGAAACTTTTGCTTTAGTTAACATTTTTGGTAAATGTTGAACAAGCATTTTCCCAAGGCAGATAATTTGGTAGATCTGAGTTACTAACTCTGAACGTTATAATTCATGTGGTGTGTTTGCTCTGTCTTTGTGCTTTCAAATTGTCTGCCTTTTATATCAGAGGTATCTGTTTGAAAACTTTTGCCCAGACATTTCTGGAATTAATTTTTCTATCGCTAGTTTGTAAACACTTCATTGTAAGGATTCAATACTCAGAATTTGAGCTGTATCAGTTATTGTTTTGTTCTCAAAATGAAAGAAAGCAACATTTACTAGGTTTCTCATGTAAGTAGTCACCATTAGGAATTTAAATGGGTCTTTCCATGAATATATTGTAAAGTATGCTGTGAACATTCCTCCCAGGAAGACTGTTTGCATAAACATCACAGATAGCAAATACAAAAGTATGAAAGCAGCCACAGAAAATTTGATGTTTTTATTTAGAGAGAACTTTTTGTGACCTGTTTGATCCACTCTATTTATTATAGATAAAGAAATGTACAGTGCTTTCCTTTCCTGGAAGAAGATGACAAATTGAGAGAGAAAATTAAAGAATAACAAAAAAATTAGGAGGTTGGAAGCTGTAAAAATAAGGAAGATGTATCAATTAAAACTCTTTACAAGATATGAAGGATGTAAACAGAATATCATAGTCAGGTGGTGTGTCTGTGAGAGGCAGAAAGAACTTGGAGTAAATGGTATGAAGCTGAAAAAAAGAGGAAAAATTCAGTCTGGCCAAAAATTTTTAATAATGATATTTATTAGACTGAAGGACTGTCTCCTCAGTGAGGATTCGTGGAAGCTCCCATCTCCAATCTTTCATCAACTGAAGTGAAGACAGACAGGAGTTGACATGATAGATAAGACAGAGTCAACAAGGGAATTTTTCCATCCCAAATTTCTATGATATGTTGTTAACTCTTTCTTGCACCTTTTTTTCATCAGCTGCTCAAGCAATGATTGGGTCCGTCTCTGGTACATCTGGTAGGTTCTTTACATAATATTAAGTAAATATCTTTTTGTGGGTGGGGAGGTGTCATTTAACTTAGCAAGCAATTGAGAGAATTAAATCCAAGGCCAACATTAAGGACAATGGCGCCCTCGGTGACCGTGTGCTTAAGTATGTTACAATAGTGAAAATTTCAGAAGTAAAGGTGTGATCTCAAAAGTTTTTATAATTTACTGAAAAAATTGACACAATTTGATTCAATTTTATTAAAATAATAAACTGTCAAACATACAGAACATTAAACTACACGCTTAACTTATGAATAAGAACAGATACAATTGGGCTTTGCCCACAAAAGCACATGATACCATCTGCATGTTTTGTTAGTCTATAAAGTGCTACCAGGCCATTTGTTGTTTTTTAAGTTTATCCAGATACAATGATATTGCTCACTAAGATGCTAAGATTCAGAAGGCAGCGCTGCGACCTTTGCTGCTGCAAACTGTGACATTGCTTGTGGCAGGCGAGATTGTGAGCCACAGCGTTCTCCATAGACAGCGAGTGGAACTGGAGTCTTAGGTTAAGGGACAAGGCACGCCCTTAGGGTACATGAAAGAAGCTGCTCAGTCCTTTGCTTCCTAGGCGCAGGGCCTGCGACTGTCCCTTGCAAAGGGAACTGTCATTATCAGTCCTTCTTGACCAGAGCGTCCTTTAAAAGCTACATGGGGAATGGATTAGTTTAGATGAAACATTTACCCTAAGATATGGGGCACAGAAGGCGGCTGCTATGTTTGAATAGCATCCAATTGTGAAATGAAACAATGGGTAAAAACCTGGGTGGGGTCCTCACCTTCAGGGGTTCTTCCTCCACAGTTTGAGCTGCTCTGCAGAAGCCCTGGCAGCTTCCATGCCACAGCTGCCCTTGCCCTTTGGCCAGCATACCTTCATGCCTGGTGCTTGGCCTGCAGCTCAACACAAGTTCATGTTCCCAGCTGGGGACTGCATCTTGCCTATGCCCATGGCCCTCCTGCAGCCCTCTGGCCACTCAGTCAGGACTCACCAGCAGGCCATTTCAGATTGTGGTGGGGATGGGGAAGGCAACTTCAACTGTGATTCCAGAGAATGCTTAGGCACCTAAAATCTCTGGGTTGGTTTTTTTTTTCCTTTTCAGATGACTTAGAAATTAGCTGTTGATTGCACAGTACACATGCACACACTCTGAAATACTTCCATCATTAATAATTAAATTATTTACAGCTAGGGAAAGCAAGCAAAATGCTGCTTGAGAACTTGTTAGTCAATATTCAGTGATATAAACTTCTGATCTGGGCTTGTTACAAATGGACGAGCGAATGAAGTTAAATCAGCAAATCATATCTGATTTTAGGATATTTATTTTGTATATCTTGACATGTAATAACACTTAGGGTTTTTGCTGTTTTGTTGTAGTCATGTTGGTCCTGGGATGAGAGCCACAAGGGGAGGGAAGTAATGGCTTTCATTGGACCAAATATGGTTGGTGAAAGTGAAAACCTTTGGAACTCCATAAAGCTCTTTTCCAGGTTTGTGGAGCAAAAAAGTGCTGATCTCTTTCACCAACCAAAGTTGGTTCAAAATAAAACCAAAAATGCACACAAACAAACAAAAAATTACCTCACCCACCTTGTGTTTATGTTTGTTTGTATGTATGTGTGGTCTTATGTAAATGTGTTTCAGCCAGCCAGGCAGATGCCTTCTGCAGTGACCCCTTTTCCCAATCCAGTTGGGAAGGGGCACATGGGATGGCTTATCTCAGTAACACTCACTTATCTCCTGTACCCCCACCAGGATTCCCTGGAAGGTGCACACCTACATGGGTGCACACCAAGAATTTCAGTCCCGCCCACCCCACTCAGCAGAGCTGCGCAGCGGCGGCCTCAGCTGCTCCTGGGGGAGGGGCTGCATGGCGGGTGGCTGCCCCACCTGGAGCCTGGGCCATGGTACTAAAAATAGCACTCTGGCCCTAGCTCGCATCCAGGCACAGGGGGTATGCTGTTTCTGAAATGGCCCCAATTCTGAAGGTCCTCTCCCAGCTGTGCAGTGACCATCAGTGCCTGCTTTACAGCAGGGCCAACTGAGGGCTGAGCTGTTGTTGGGACAAGCTGATTTCCCTTTGGATTAGCGCCGGTGGCATAGAGAGCTGCTCCCCATCAGACGGTGCTTGGCCCCACATCGTGTCTTCCCCAGCCACTGCCTGGGCCCAGCACCATGCGGATTGAATTGCAGGGACAGGGCCTGGGAAGCCAACCTACGGACTGTGCTCAGCCAGGGAGGAGTTGAGCCTGTTCGGTTGACACCATCGGGGCAGCATAACCACTTCTCCCCGCAGGAGGGAGAAGTGTTGGTTAGTGTGTGGCATGAGCAGGTCGGACACACAACAGTGCTGTGGGCATGTTTCGGGCAGCCCGGCAGTCAACAGTCTGGGGCCTGGCTGTCCTGGAGGTGCTCTGGGAGGCTTGCACGGTTTTGTGTTGCAGGGGAAAACGAGCGTTTCCTCTCAAGGTTCCTGTTCCAACCTGGCCCGGGATTCAGGGCCAGTCTCCTCCCCAGTGTTGCTCAGGGTGCCCAGTTGTGGATGTGGGCACATCTCCTGGGCAGCGGTGGGTGTTTTCCTCACAGCCCTGCCCCCACGGCCATGCTACCTGTCCTGTGCAGCTGACAGGGCAAGAACAGGGTGGGGCCTGCAGTTGGGTGGTTTTCAGGGTGGGTGGGTGCAGAGTTCTGCACCTTGTTGATTACCCCTTGTTTCAGTATTTTTTTTCTTCCATTACAATTTAAATGTGTGTGCGTGTGTGTGTGTGTGTGTGTGTGTGTGTGTGTGTAATGTTAGTAACTAGTGGGTTCCACAGTGGCACACATCCGAACAGGCCCACACACTGGCTCCCACCCACCAGCCTCACATTGGGACACAGCAGAACACGCCCCCCCAGAACCAAGTGAATGAAGCTTCTGAGCCAGGGGAGCAGGAAGGACAGAGCTTCTGCTGCTGTTGTGGGGGCACAATTTAAAGGTTTCCCCCAACAATTCAAGTGTAAGCTCCTCCCCGCCCCCACCAGTAGCCCAGCTCTCCCTCTTGCCCTCAGTTCCCTCCTCCCTCCCCTACCTAGCCTCTCCCTGCAGAGCTGAAGCAGCAACAGATTCGGAAACTTCCCGCCCCCCTGGGCCCCCACCCTGCTGCTGCTCCCACCAGAGCAGAGGAGTTACCTGAGACACATTGAATGAGGGGCTCTGTCCTCCCTGACCCTGGCTGCTGGGTTTGCCCTCCTGCTTAGCCGGCTGGCAATAAGTAAGGTCAGGTGAGACTATTCATATGCGCCCTCATCAGCACATCACCCCAGCCATAGCCTCAGAGTAGGGCTTTTCAACTCTCATGT